GGTTGGAAGTGAAGATGTATGAAAGAGAGAGAGAGAATATGTCATGAATTCCTTGAAGTGATGAATTTCATATACATACTCTCAGGTGATTTGTGGAGAATATATTGCTTGTTTTTTTATTATTATTTATTTTTTTTTTTCCTTGGAAGGTAAATAATATCTTTTGGGTTTCGTTACCAAAAAAAAAAAAAAAAAATCAAATTATATTTCGAACTTATTAATCTTGATTTATTCCTCCACTTTGTCATGGGGAATATTGAGCACTGCCAGGAGACACTTTACTGGCAAGCTGTTGTTCAGAATTTTTGATATTATGTTCTCTGCTTCTTTTTTGGTTTTAATCAAATCCTGAAATTCGGAGAAAGTAATACTCAATATGTTACTGTTGAACATTACTGCGTTTTAGCATGGGAAATATTTTAATGCAATAAAATATAAATTAGGCTGTTAAAAATATTCTTAAAGTCATAAGAAAAATACGCGTATTTGTTTGATAGTCCTTGAAAAATTAATCTTCAATTTTCGCAAGCCCTTGACAGCTACGCTGAAGTTAACATCAATATTATTTGGAAAACAATTTTTTTTAAAATAAAATTTGGTTGGAGGTCCTTGATTTTTTTTAAATCTATGTTGCCACTAGTCATTGAAAAACCAGTAAAGAAAGTCTTAATGTCGGACGGGGCCGACTTTATGATACCCTACACGACTTTGCTAATTTAGCAGAGCTCCACATAACAATTAAATGTTGTAATGGGAGAATTCAATCATACACGCCATGATTATAATTATAATTTAAAGTTCAAAGGACTAAATATGCCAAAACATTTGTATCTTTTAAATTCGGACTTGTATTGCCCGTTTGGTGCAAAATTAATTTGAAATCAGATAAAAATATATATGGGGGCAATATCCAAATCGGAACCGATCTCAATAAAATTAGGCAAATATATTTCTGAGCTCTATTTGATATATTTCCCTGAATATCATTGTTACGGAGTGCATATTACGGCTGTGGGTAACAAATACAACAAATCGGATGAACAATACATATGGGAGCTATAGCTATATCTGAACCGATCTTCACCAAATTTGACATACTAGGTTCTAGACGCAATTCGGTTGTATGTGCCAAATTTCATCCCACTTGGACAAATATTAGACGTTTGGTGCACAATCGAAGGTAAATCGGACGAAGTTATATATGGGAGCTTTATCCAAATCTGAACCGATCTCGATAAAATTCAGCAAAGGTATTTCTGAGCTGTATTTGCTATATTTCCTCAAATATTGTTGTTACAGAGTGCATACTACGGCTGCGGAGAACAAAAAATTGCAAATTGAGAAAGAGACTTTACCCCTCTCGAGAATATGACGAAGCCTGGAATCGTTATGGGTAAGTAATAGAGATTTGGAGTCTTTATGATACAACTGAAAGGGAGCAGCCTCTTGGTCCTTAGAAATAACTCTTTAAAAGTCAAAGGTCAAAAGGCCGTACAAATATTTTTATTTTTAAAATTCTGTTCCTTGAATATTTGTTTAAACACTAAGATAGTGAAAAATCAATGATTGACTTTTTGGTCCATGAAAAGATTTTCAAAAATAAAAAGTTTCATTAAAAATGTTGAATTAAAAAAATAACGTAGAAAATTGAAAAAATATTGGTTTAAACACTCACGAAAAAAGTCTTGAAAATTTTTCAGCTTTAAATATTATCCAAAATAATCTTCCAGTAAATCCGTTTTATAGACGTTTTTGTCTTGAATGTTAATGACTTTTTGTTTTTTTTTTTTTTTTTTGATAAAAAAATGTTAAAATGATCATCGATTATAGGTCTTTTTTTTCAAAAATTCAAGATTTCCAGCTTATGTGCTTGAAAACATTTTTTTTTAACAAGAAACAAGTCGGAAATTATCAGTCGGTTTTGCCGACATGTGTGTAATCTCAGCCAATGCTCGATTATTTAAATATATTTTGACTTTTGTTATTATTTTTCAAATTATTGACTCTCCATGGATTAGGTTCTGAAGGAAGGGAGCAATATTGTTCCATTTAAATTAATTTTTAGAAAATGTTAAAATGTTACGTGGGGTACCAGATATAGTCGACCGAAGTATTCCATTTTCATTTCATACTTCATCTAATGCAGATACAAATATTGGTAGAGGCAAAATTACAAGGAAATCGACTTCGCATTAAAAGAAAATCGAACTTTTATATCCGATTTTATTCAAATTATAAATTCCAAATTCATCTCCGGTTTCTGGTTGAGAAAAATATTAAGATATAGCAAGTTATGACGAATAAAAATATTTAAAATTGTGACCCTTTGTGGGTGAAGTACTAAAACGGGGTTCGCAGATAGATCTTCACAACGGATCTTGTGTTAGCAAAAATGTTTGTATGTGTGAAATTTGAAGAGAGTTGGATGTTTATTTCGCATTCTTTAAGAGTTTGGTTTGGTTTCAAAACCTATGTAGGCGAGGTACCAGAAAGAATGGTCCGATCTCTACGATCTTTATTACAGATCTTGTGCTGATAGAAATATTGCGAGGCACAAAGTCTGAATGGAATCCGATGTTAGTTTCGCGTTTTATGAGCTTCAAGGATATTCACAATTTTAAGCATTTGTGGGGGAGGTACTAGAAGGAGTCGACCGATATATCCCATCTTCGCAGCATATTTTGTGTAGACGTAGAAATAATGGAATGAGTCAGATATGAAGAGTTTTGGTTATTCAAAACTTTTGACCCTTTGTGGGGGAGGTATCAGAAGGAGTGAACCGATATATGCCATCTTCACACCAGTCCTTGGGTTAATAAAAGTGTGTGGGGGAGGTACTTGGTGGAGTGGGCCGATATTGTCCATTTTCTCACCTGACCTAGTAATGATGCAAATATTAGGATTTGCAAAGTTGGAGCAAAATCGAATTATCCTTTCTCTTTCTGTGCCGTAACATATTTTTTTTAATGTAAATTTAAAATATTAGGCCTCGAAAAATACCATTTCACAATCGGGAATTACTTATTAGGTCTTTAAAAATCCGAATCATTTGGTCCATTGATCTCGGAAACATATTTTTCATATATTCAAAATTATTTTTTTATCGATCCCTGAAAATGCAATCTTCAATAAACGACGACATTCTACAACATCCTGTACTCAGGCCTACTATCTTACCGACCAATTTTACAATTCTTTTCCCAAAAGTCAAAATGGCGATTGGATGATTGGTACGTTAAGACTTACTTTAAAAATTTGTTTGATGTAGTTTTGTATGGTTTTTATACCCTCCGCCATGGTAGGGAGGGTATATTAATAGCATCAACTATATGTCGATAATACGATGTCTGTCCATCTATGCGCCTGTCCCTCTTTCGAAATCACTCTAGCTTCCGAACGAAATGATGTAGATTGATAAAATTTTACTCAAATGTATGTTATGTCTTCAGTAATTTTGGTATTGAAAATGGGTCATGTAGGTCCACGTTTTGGTATAGCCCCCATATAACGGTACCTCCCGATATTCGGTACTTTGATGATTTTAGCGGCATTATTCACCGGAATTGTTTCAAATTTGGCATTTGAAGTTCGTGACGGATACTACAATCTATGACAGAAAATAGTCTGTGAAGGTCAACGTGTTCGTATAGCCCCCATATAACGGTACCTCCCGATATTCGGTACTTTGATGATTTTAGCGGCATTATTTACCGGAATTGTTTCAAATTTGGTATTTGAAGTTCGTAATGGATACTACAGCCTATGACAGAAAATTATCTGTGCAGGTTCACGTCTTCGTATAGCCCCCATATAATGGCACCTTCCGATATTCGGTATTTTCATGATTTTAGCGATATTATTTATCGGAATTATTTCAAATTTCGTATTTGAAGTCCGTGACGGAAACTACAATCTATGACAGAAAATTGTCTCTGCAGGTCCACGTCTTCGTATAGCCCTCAAATAACGGTACCTCCCGATATTTGGCATTTTGATGATTTTAGCTACATTATTCTCCAGAATCGTTTGGAATTTCATATTGGAAGATCTTAATGGATACTACAATATATGTCAAAAAAATTCGCATACGTCTCCACGTCTTCGTATAGCCCCCATACAACGGTACCTCCCGATATTCAGTATTTTTGATTATTTACCGGAATTGTTTCAAATTTGGTATTTGAATTTCGTAATAAATACTACAGCCTAAGACAGAAAATTATCTCTGCAGATTTACGTCCACATATGGCCCCATATCTGATATTCGGTATTTTGATGATTTAACGACACTATTTATCGGGATTATTTAAAAATTTCGTATTTGAAGATCGTAATGGATACTTCAGCCTAAGACAGAAAACTGTCTCTGCAGGTCCACGTCTTCGTGTAGCCTCGATATAACTGTACCTCCCGATATTCGGCATTTTGATGGTTTTAGCCACATTATTTACCGGAATTGTTTTAAATTTGGTATTGGAAGTTCGTAATGGATATTACAGCCTATGACAAACATTTGCAGGTCCAGGTCTTCGTATATCCCACATATAACGGTTTTCATTTAAGTGGTAGTTTTCGCATTTTTTTTTTTTGAAAAATTAGTGGAAGGTATTAAAAGTTCGGCTCGGTCAAAATTAACGTATTTTTTAATTGTTATTTTTTTCTTGGATTATAGAATCTTGGTTCTAGAAAAAAATTCTTTAAAAAAATTGGGTCACGGAAACAAAATTTTTAAAATTCAAAATTATTGCATTTTTGATCCCTAGGCAAGAGTCCTTAAAAATCAGACATCCTGTAACCAACAAAATTTTCATAGCGACCAAATTTACAATATTCAAACTAAAATACACCCAGTTTTTTGCATGAAGAGGACATTAAGAAATAGCTTCAAAATTGTTCTGATGTATTGCTTTTATTGTTGTTGTTGTTTTATCATATTTTTCCCAACATTTCCTTTACTTGTCTGTCATATATGTTCTGTGGCTTGTCTCTTCGAAACTTACCTAATTTTATGGTGTTCCTTTTATTTTCTTTTTTTTCAGAAAATGGCAGACGTCTTGGATGATGGAGCGAAGGGGCAGGGGAATGCAAACATAAATTCCTTGCAATGGGAAATGAAAATCAAATTTACATTTCCCCACAAAAAGCACACTCGACAAAACACGTACACGCACACACACACGAATATGTATTTTTTTTATTTACCTAAAATTAGGTTTTTCTTTTCGTTGAAAGTGGGAAATTCCTCTTTTTTAAACCCTTGGCATATGTTACACAAAATCCGAAGATCGTTAAGGTTTTATGTTTGAAAATTTATTGAAATTTAATTTTGATTTGCAAACAAAAAAACAGAAATGTATTTCCCTCGTGGTGTGCAGTTTTATTTGATTACGTTTTGTTTTGCTATTTTTTTAGTTGTTTTATTTTCGTTTTTTTATGGCCTGCTTTTAGGCGTATATTGGAATGGCCATTAAATACGTAAAATTATTTATTGTAATTTTTATTATTGGGTTTTGTTTTACAATGCCCCTGTCACACATTGACATTTACAAATGTAAGTGGTTTTTGTTTTGGTTTTTCATGATTTTCCATGGAGAGTATCAACCTCTGTCGGCAGGGGAAGGAGGAACAAATATTTTTTGTTTTTTATTTTTTTATTTTAAAGAACCAAATGCTGGCATTGACAGACAGCTTGTGGGCTCAGCGCTGACACGAAACAAACGCACCAACATCTACCGGCCCCAACAATGCCGTGAGCCTATTTAACACACACACACACACGGACACCGACACAGACACACTTTCACTTTAGATTTACACGACAGCCCATCAACATTTACATAGTTAACACCTGTGTTTCGTTGCCTTTCCTCCTTTTGGCTTCATTCGGTCTTGTTGTACGTTTTGTTTGTTTGGCATCATTAGCGTAGGGAGGTGACGTAAAACGGGAAACGGAAATCGTTTAGTTAAGCAAAGTTTGCCATTTGTAGCATAACATTAGGCGTTAACGTGAGCTACGAAACCGAAAGAAAACCCAAAAAAAACACAATCATGACAAAACAATTTCTGCACTTTCTTTTGCTTTTCGCCACGATAATCAATCAAAGTTCTGTTGCCTTTGCCATTTCTTCAAACGCACTTTAATTCATTGGGGAATTCTTTCGCCCCATCTCTGCCCCGAAATTTATGCTTTAATTTTTGTATTATTTTTCTTTCAAAACCAAACAAAAACACAATTCTGTCTTCTTTTCTTTTTTTCATAAATTTTTGATGCGCTCTCGTCTACCGTTCTATAGGTTACGTTATCATAGACTGAATCCTTGTATGGCTTAGGCAGCCAGCCATATCCTTAGCGTACGTACCCAACTCGTACAGGAAAAAACGAACTCCCAGTATTTTCTGAGACAAAAACCAGTATTTCCGTGCTGCGCATGTCCCTTACTCAAGAGAGTTCCCACGAAAATTTTAACACACAACATTTTTGTAGAGTTTTTTGTGTAGAGTTTCCAAGGATTTTGTTTGTTGTTTGTTTAAGACGGCAAAGTGAAAGAAAAACGACTGTTGTATGTTTGTGGTAACATTTTAGTATTCGGAGCAACGGCTACTGGGACAGTGTTGTTGTGCGGCGTAACAACAAACATTTTTTTGTTGTTCTTGTTTTTTTTTTCATAGAAATTGAATCAGCATATGGCGTAGTTTCTTTAGGCTGTGTTGATTCATTGGGGGTCATTTGGGCAATGAAAGACAATAAGTGGTGCATACTTTCAGGAGAAATCAATAAAAATCGTAGAGGAGCCTATATTCATAAGCGAAATAGAGAAACAAGGAACGTCTATAAATTAAGACTACATCCATTTTTTTAATCCTCCCAAAAGTATGCACCACTTATTGTCTAGAGACAAAACAACAGTGTAAAGATATTTATTTTTACAAATATTTTAATCAACAATCTGGACGGACCAAAGAGCCTCTAATTGAGGATATAGGGGCCTTGGTTTTTACCATAGAGAAGTTGGAGAGACCAGTGAGATTTTCTTAAAGAAAAAGGCTAACAAGGGAGTCCCTCTCATAAAGGAAATAGGTAGGCTAGAGGGTCTATTTTTATAGAAGAGGTGGCAGCTGAACCAGGGAGCTGGTGGATTGTCCAGAGAGCCTATTTTCATTGGTTGTGGGGTCTGGTTGCCAATTTTCATCGGCAAGCTACCGACTGGTTAGGAAGCATTGTTTCATTGGTTGGCTCAAGACGCCTCTTTTCATAGGATATGTTGCCTTTAGAAAGACTAAATTGGTAGTAGATCAGGGAGCCAATATTCATAGGCAAGTTGGTCGACGGGTTAGGGAACCTTTTTTCATTGGGAAGTTGTTGGATTGCTCAAGGAGCCCATTTATACATTGTAGGTAGCTACATGGTGGGTCAGGGAAGCCTATTCTTATAGGCAAGCTTGCGAACGAGTCATAGAGCCGATTTTCTTAGGGGAGCTGGCAAAAGAGTCATATATCCGATTTTCATTGGAGAGTCGGCCAACAGATCAAGGAGCCTATATTCATGACAGAGCTGGTAGACGGGTCTAGAAGTCTATTTTCTTTCCTGGCAGGTGAATCAGGGTTCCATTTTTTATAGAATTGCTGGCGGACGGGTTAGAGAACCAATTTTTGGCGATAAGATCAGGGAGCCTAGTTTTAGAGGGAAGATAACGGGCGGGTCAGGGGGCTTATTTTCATAGGACAGATAGATAGCTGGTTGGTCAAGGAAGCTTTTTTATAGGCAAGCTTGCGAACGAGCCATAAAGCCGAACGAGCCATAAAGCCGGAGCTTGCAAAACAGTCATTGATTCGATTTTCTTAGGGGAGCTGGCGGACGTGTCATAGGACCTATATCCATAGGAGAGTTGGTGGACGGGTCAGGCAGCCTATTTTCTTTCCTGGATGGTGGGTCAGTGTGCCTATTTTCATAGACAAGCCTGCTGACGGATTAGGTAGGAAAGAAGAGAGCTGGTGAACGGGTCAGAGAGCCTATTTGCATAGGGAAGATAGCCGAAGGGTCCGGAAGCCCATTTTCATAGGACAGATAGCTAGGTGGAGGGTTAAGGAAGTTTTTTTTTTTTTTTTATAAGCAAACTTGCGAACGAGCCATAGAGCCGGTTTTCTTAGGGGAGCTGTCAAAAGTGTCATGTATTTCCGATTTTCATAGAAGAGCCGGCGGACAGATTAGGAAACCCATTATTATAGGAGAGCTGGTAGACGTGTCAGGGAACCTATTTCTTTCCTGGCAGGCGAATCAGGGTTCCATTTTTTATAGAAGGGCTGGCGGACGGGTTAGAGTACCAATTTTGATAGGAGTACTGGAGGTAGGATCAGGAAGCCTAGTTTTAGAAGGAAGATAGCGGGCAGGTCTGGGAGCCTATTTTCATAGGACAGGTAGCTAGGTGCTGGATTAAGGAAGCTTTTTTATAGGCAAGCTTGCGAACGAGTCATAGAGCCGATTTTCTTAAGGGAGCTGGCCAAAGATTAATGTATCCAATTTTCAAAAAAGAACCGGCGTACGGGTCAAGGAGCCTTTTTAAATAGTAGAGCTGGCGGACGGGTCAGAGAGCTTATTTTCTTTTCTGGCCGATGGGTCAGGGTACCTATTTTCATAGACAACCTGGGTCGTTGGTCAGGGAACCTATTCTGAATGGAGAGCTGGCGGACGAGTCGGAGAGCCTGTTTTCTTTTTTCTGAGGGGTCAGAGAGTCTATTTTGATAGGAGACTGGCGATCGGATCTTGGAGCCTATTTGCATAGGGAACGTAGCGGACGGGTAAAGGAGCCTATTTTCATAGGAGAGATGGCGGACGAGTCGGAGAGCCTTTTTTCCTGGTGGTTGGATCAGGGTGCGTAATTCCATAAACTAGCTGGCTAACGCGTTATAGAGCCTATTTACATAGGAGAGCTAATGGACCAGTTGAATCTAACTAGGTATGTCAGGGAGTTTATTATAGAGGAGCTGAAAATTTAAGAATCTAATCATAGACGAAGTTTAGAGACCGGGATTCAATTTTTATTGGCAATCTGAAACGACCATTGTCAGAAGTCTACTGTCGCTTAGCTAGACAGAAAGTCTATCAAAGGGAAATGATCAGGGAGGTCAGTTGCCAGGAAATATGTCTTAGAAGACTTGGATGGCCAATGGTTCTGCCTGCCAAGGTTTAGCTGGAGATCAGTTATGATACCCTCACTGGAGGATTTGCCGATCTAGTGAGCGAAAAAAAGACCGGGTGCCCTATATGGGAGTTAAAATGTAAATTCGTACAGGCGAAGAGATAAGGCAAAAAACCTCTACAGGCAAAATGATGAGGCGGGAAACCTCTAAAGTCAGTGAACATACACAGACGAGTTGAAAAGTACGAGAGCGCCAATAGATGATCTCAAGAATCGTTAGCTAAAGAGAAAGAGGCATGTAGCATATGCTGGTGAGCTGAAGAGACAGAGACCCTCTCAGAACCTGAATTGGCCGACAATTTTCATATTAATCATTGATTAACTGGAGGTTAGTGAGTCTATGATGGATGACCTGCCGAACTAGTAAGTGAGCGTAAGATAAAGGACAGGTGCCCTATGGCAGAGGTAGAATGTGAAAGAGTCTCCATAGGCGAAATCAGGAGACGGCAAATTCCAGGAGGCAAAGTGCTACAGCAGAATGCCTCTACAGGCGAAATGAGAGGCAGGAATCCTCTAAAGTCAGGGAGCATACACAGACAAGTTGTTAAGTTAAGAGTCAAAAGGGGATTAGCACACAGGCGAGCTAAACCTATGAAGCCTCCATTTGTATCAGAAGTGACCGACAATTTTTATTGGGGGATTAAAATTGCAAGAAGCCTCCATACCTGACAAAGCAGGTATGAAGAGTGCGAAAGGCTCCAGAAATTAGGAAGCCTCCACAGGAGAGCTGAAAAGTGTAAAGCTCTATTAGTTGAGAATGCAGGGAGTTCCCATAAAACAGCTAAGGCAAGACCGATGTCAAGGAGTCTTTATGGGCTCGAGATACCATAGATTCAGAGACCCCATATAAACGAATTGATGACACATAGAGAGAGAGAGAGAGAGAGAGAGAGAAGCGAAGGAAGGGAAAATGGGAAATGCATAGGAGATGGTCGGAGAGATTTTGGTAAGGCAAAGGACTTCTGTAGACCTGCTTTATGGAAAGGGGGCCTTTAAATGCGAGTTACAGATACGGAATCAGTGACACTTAAGTATATGAATATTTGGTCCCTGAAAAGTCCAGCAAATCAAATTCCTTTTGGTCCTTCGAAACTATTTTTTCAAAACTCCAAATTTATTGGACTCTTAGTCCTTGAAAATGGTGCCCTTTAAACAAGTGTCCTTTTTAAAGCGTTTTGATTTTGTTGCGCCCCAAAAAAGCGAAATAAAATCCATGAAATAAAATTTTCGCAAAATAATTCGTTTGTTGCATGTTAGCTGGAGTACTCGTAGATTGCATACCGGACTGACCTTTGACCGTCTAACCCCCCACTCTCTACAATATAAGCTGCAGTTATTTATTGGTATGCAAAAAAAAGCCAACAAACAAAAAGGACAACGAGAAGCTATTGCCAAAAACAACAGCAACATTAAGTCCTAGTAGTCGAAATAGTTTTGTAGAGTTGCCATTTTCGTGGTTCTCATTCTCATTTTTGTTGTTGTTGCTATTGTGTAGTTACGTCGGTTTTATGCCATGGACCAGCAATGTACAATTTTCGTACTTGTTTAAGTTTTAAAAAGGTTTAGAGGTTTTGTAAAAGAACTTTCGATTTGGGTTATCATGTACAATGCAATTTTTTGGGTGTGTGTGTGTGTGTGTGTATTTCGCTGCTGTACTCTTTTGTGTGTCTGTGCTTGTAATTGTAAGCTTGAGTGTATAGGTTTTGTTTGTGATTTGTTTGGTGGCTTTTTTCGGGGCTCTTTTGGAGGACAAAGAAATTATAAACATGAATGTTGAGTTTAAAAAGTGGCACAGCAATGAGATCACAGGGCAGTTGGTTGATGGGTGAGAAGGGGGGAGGAGGAGAACAAAAAACTAATCAGATAATAAGGAAAAATTAGGAATCATTTTTTTTTTTATTTAGTAAAAAAATTGTTTCTTAATTTAATATAAAAAATATTTTTTTAAAAAATCCACGTTTTTTGTAGCCACAAAAAATATTTTTTTAAAAAATCCACGTTTTTTGTAGCCACAAAAAATATTTTTTAAAAAATCCACGTTTATTGTAGCCACATAAAAATATTTTTTAATCACGTTTATT